TAACCAGTGTAGTCTTGAGGGGAAATCTGTAAGTATTTTCATTAGCTCCTGTTTGTAAACACTCAAAAGGAAAATTGCTGATTTCCTTGAAAAACACATGGTGCTGTTCTTCAGGACATTTATCCAGGAATTGGGGGATTTGGTGTAATTAAAAATACTCTGTATTTGCTTGTAAAAATAACCAACGGCCTCGTGTGCTTTGGTTCTTCACCCTTCATGGTGCTTTCATTGTGTTCCTACAAATGATGTTGAAGGCGCCCCGACCCCAGCACTCATGCATAAAGGCTGNTTCTTCACCCTTCATGGTGCTTTCATTGTGTTCCTACAAATGATGTTGAATGCGCCCCGACCCCAGCACTCATGCATAAAGCACTCATGCATAAAGCACTCATGAATAATTTGGCTCCTGAAAACTAAAGACCCATCCCAGGCACCACCAGCTCAGGAATGCTGGGGGGGAATTGAGAGTTCCCATTGCGGAGGCCGAGTGTGCACAACCACGCTCCCTGTGGACTGTGATGACTGGAGCACCCACCAGAGGCAAAGGAGCCCCTGAGCTGGGTCCTATACTGGCCATCAATCCAGAGTAACCATTCGGAAGAGTTGTTGAGGTGGAGTCTTATGTTTCTAAACTGGGGGACTGTAAAGGACAAGATAAACTACTTGGGGTATTTCCTGTGCAATTTCAAAGCAGCTTATTTGACATAGTATTAGAAAAGATAAATAAAAATAAATGTCATCAACCTACATTAAGTCATTTGTCTATAATTAAAAAATGAAATCGTTTGCCACTTATGAATACTTCTATTCCTACCACGGTCAGGGAGGGGGTGGGGAGAGAGAGAAATGCATTGACCACTTGGGGTAGTTTATCCAGAAAGAGGGGTGCACATGCTCCCATTTCAAAGTAAATTCAGGTTAAATCTGGTGCATAACCTTAACAGGCATCATTTTTTACTTCTTATGTTTAAAATTTCTCTCTAAAAAAAAAAAAAATCAAACATCCCTCCATGTTTTCTTACCACTTAGACTGTGTGTCCTTTATTCTGAATAATACTGTGTATGAGCTGTGAATAAAGTTAATTTCAAAATAGCCCTAGCAATTATTGGATTAAAATTATCCCACAAAAAAATCTTTTAGGCAACTTCTCACGTTAACCAAGCTAAAGTTTAGTCCTGTAGTGTGGGCCTGGGTGCTTAGGTTGTAGTCTACAGAAATAAAATAACACACAGAATTCTTGCCCAAAACTGAGGAAAGGATTTGCCTCTGCTCCCCTTCAAAATGAGATCGCTGATAATCAAAAGAATTCAAGCCGAGTTATAGGATTATGGGCACAAAGTCACTTTGGTGCCTGTGCGTGAACAACTAAACATCTTCTTAGGACCCTAATTCAAAAGTGAAATTACCCCGTCTACTGTCCAATGCATGCTGGGAATAAAAGGCTGTTCTGATCCATAGATAAATGGGATGTCTGATAATAGAAGAAATTCAAGCAGAATTAGGACTGTAGACACAAACTGATGTTGCCCACCCATGAGCAACCAACACAATCTATTGCCATATGCATGTTGGGGATGAAGCTGCCCCCACCCAAACAAAAAGCAAACCTGTTGCTATACACAAACTCTGATGCCTATAAAGTTGCCTTTTATATAAAACTTTGGCAAGAACTGAATTTCAGTAAATACAGCCCCACCCTCCTGTTGACAATCATTTTGATGCTCTAATGCACAGAGTTCTTTGCTCTGGATTATCTGCTGAGGTTCAAGGGAGTCTGCATTTTATCATCGGTTCTCACTGCCTTGGCCCTGGTTCAATTCCAATTTAAGGAAATACTTGAAATACTGTGTCCTCTGGTAGCATGCAAACACTCTAGGAATCCGATGCTTCCCAGAATAAACTGTGCTTGTTATATAAGTCCAATCAAAGACACTTTCAGAACAGAACAAAAGAGATTAGATCCGCTTCAGTTTAAATCGTCTAAAGAGACTTCTCTGCCTTGGATTTGCTAATGGCCTTAGTGCAAATAATGGAAATAGAATCGGGCATTTCTATTAGTCACCCAAGGAGTTTTTCAGTTTTGGGTTCCACTGGAGGGCTCCGTCACCACGGCTCTTCTTTTAACAACTGGAAAACGTCTTGCCTGATTAGGAAGTTAGTCATTTCATATTTTGACATCTACAACAATGTGAAGTCTAAAAACCTCACAAATTACATCTATAAGTAACAGGATATATCACTTTAAAGATGAAAAGCTCAAGCATTCGTGGCGCCTGTCTTTGTTCCTGCTAATCCTATTTTACTGTTTGAGTGTCAGATATTTTGTAAATGTGTGCAGTTGAATTCAAACAACAAATGTCGACAATCAGCCCTCTGACTTGGTATAAAAAGCACCATTATTTTTTATTAGTTTTATTTTTTATGTATTTGTTCTCTGAGGGCCTAACCTTCTAAACATACTTGATATTTCATCAATCAGTATCATTCCAGACCAAGCATTCTCTGTGTCGTTCAGTTTTAAAACTGAGAACAGTTTTGAACATCAAGGGTCTGAAAAGAATTGACAAAGGAGAATTTGGGGAATGTTCTTAATCCTCAGTTTCTGGGGAATGTTTATCCCTTCTTGTTTTAGCCTGGGTCACAGACATCCCCTGAGGCTTTTCCTTTCCATTTACTTTGTCCATTTAAGGTTAACATATTAGGAGTTTTGCTACTGCGAGATTAAAATAAGGAGTTTGACGGGGCTTTCTCAAGGCTCCCGCACCGACCTTCTCCCCGGGTTCGCGGGCATCTCGTCACTACAGGTGGCGTCAAGGCTACCAAGCAGTTTCTTAGTGACGTGTTATATTTTCCTGTGTATTCTAATAAAAGGGAGGGAGGAGAATGTGCCTGTTGATTCGTACACACTGAAAAATAAGGTATAAAGTTCGTCTTGATAAAGTTTCCCCTGATCACATTTTGAAGTCAATTGCCTATGAAATTTTATTGCAAAATTCACGGTAACATCATGGTACTGGGCGTTCAGTGGTCAGTAGGACAGTGGACACAATCGGGTGATTTGAAAACACTACAGAGCAAGAATATCATCTGCGTTGTTTTCAGTTTATAACTCTAAAAAATAAATTGGGGTGAATATCAGTTCTGTGATTTTGTTCATAGTATTTATTGATTACCAAGGTATTAGTTAATTCATTCTAATCATAAAAGATAAAAGCTTTTTCCTCTTGGTTCATAATTATATTGTTTAAGTGTATTTTTTCATGCTATTTTTTTTCTTTGTATAATTTTTCAATTTGTTTCAATATGCAAATTCAGTCTCTCCCTTTCATATCATAAAGATCTGTAAAATAATCAGTAGCTACAGTCCATGTTTTATAATTGTCACAAATGTCTTTCCCAATAAATTTGCAAAAATTAATAGCCTAATAGACATTTTTCCAAATAGAAAGTATAAATTCATAAAATTTGAATATCCAGTAATGCTATAATCTCCAACAATAGTTGCTAAATATAAATATAACTGCTCTAGATAAATGATGCAAGTGAAACCATCTGGTGAAAACTGGTTACATTTATGGACTTAATTTTTTTTTCTTAAATTAAACTTCCCCCAAATAAGTATTTCTCTAGTAAATCATTAAAAATATGACTAGAAATAGCTCCCTAATTATGACTATTTTCATGCTATTTTATTTCACCATTTCTTCCCCCACCCTGGGGAGAAGATAGGTATCATATTTCGCGGGTGTTCGCATTTTGATTTTATTATTAGATTTTCACAGCAGTAATGAACATAACCAAGCTTCCCATCAGAGGTGAATTGCAATGGCCATAGTGGAAGAAAACGATCGATGATGAAGAGAACAGGGCAGGTAGGGCCAGGAGAGTGTTCTGAAAGGGGGAGAGGGCAAGAACCGGCAAAGACTACAAAGCCAGGGAGATCATTTGGCGCTCTTTACAGAGACAGAAGGAAAACAGAGTTATGGAAAGTCTTTCTTGATGATCATGACAGATGACTTCATTTCAACGTTATCCCCACTCATTCATAAAGTATAAATAAGTTTTTTAGATTATCAGATGTTAGAGTGCTAATGTACATGGCAGCTTGGTGACTGTGGTGTTGGGGAAGTTCCCATTCATGCAACTATAGCCCCCCAGGTGCAGAGGCAGAGTGGCTGGGGCTGAACATCTTCAGGGAGTTCTTGCTCTTAGGAGATTTGCTTCCTATGAGAGCATGGCCTTCCTCTTCGGTCTTGGGGTGTGGGTAAACCAGAAACTCTAAAAGTGGGCTAAGACAACACGCCAGGGAAAGAACTAAGTCATCTCACACTCCATAAAATAATACACATTAAAATAACGTTTTTCTACAACAATCACCATTCCGCAGCCATTTCTAATGACTTAATCTCAATTGTTATACATCAAACACTTCACTGGGAGAAACCACAGTATCTGATACAGAAACAGAAATGGGTTTTGTGGTAACCATTTAGTTCCTGCATCTTAAAAAAGTAGATGAATCTCATCCTCCTTGACTATTTGTTCAAAATATATATTAAATACATTAAATACTCCCAGGTAATAAATTGAACAATGTACTGTAATGATTTCAAAGTTCCCAGGTATATTTTAAGATTGAGAGGTGACACTTAATAACTAATGATCTTTTCAGACTTAAAGAACAAAACCTGCTAGTTATAAATGTTTGTGGAAGAAATTGAATTTTTTAAATGAGAACTTCTCTCCATTTTCATCCATTAATGGTCACTATTAAATAAAAACAAGTTTATGGTTATGATCATAGGACCAATAACTGAACTTTAACTTCAATAGAATGATAAATTCTGCCCACCTTATTAAACCCTGGTTTAAATAAGACCAATTTTAATGTGATATGAACTCACAGGTACCCCAAAACAAAACAAAAAACAATCACGTGTTCATGATGTTTTGTTCCACGTGCTAGTGAACAAATTAATACACCATTTTTTTTCTACAGGGAAACTGAAGACTTTAATAACAAACCCTCCAAGGTCAAAATGAACACAGGTATGCCATCTCTGTTAGTTTTAAATTTCTCAGCCTTGTTCTCTAAAAATCATCTTGGTCCTAAATCATTAGTTTAGCACTCTGCTGATCCTAAATGTGTACTGAGTTTCTGATTAGATGGATAGTATAAATTCATTACTTACTTTGTCTTTTTGCTCCAATCTTATAGCAACCAAAAACAGAATTTGGGGTTTTATCTACCCTTACTCCCTTTTCTGTAAATCATATCTTGAAATTAACTCCTACATACCATAGAAAGAGGTAGTATCTCATTTGCACACATACATTTGAAACCCCTCTTAGAATAGGCTAAATTCAAAGGCAAATTGCTCTAGTAGAAAATATTTAAATTTCCCATTCTGTAAACCCTTTATGTTAACAGTCAGCAGATAGTGCCAAAGCTTTTTGTGAAATCAGCTTAATTAATCCATATGCACAATACACCTAAAGTCATAAGCATTATATTTTCAAATGTGAGAATATTATCTCTAATTCGCTTAAAAACATGGATGCCTCTGAACTCTGTATTGTATACAGATTAATTGCAAAAGTGTTTGTGGTACATGCTATGTACATACATATTTTTTTCCATAGTAGAAATGATTTAGCACACATTTCACCTTTTCCCCCCTGAAATCTTTATATTTGGTTTTAGGTAATTCTGGAAAACAACTTTCTCACTGAAATTTTGTAATTTGTGTACAAAAAATACTCTTATCTGCAAGCAATCACCAGCAAGTTTGCAGTCTCTTGTTATCAAGGGAGGATTAGCAACCACTGGTGAGAACCACTGTCTAATCCCTTGGCCAAGTGTGGACACATGGCCCACTCCCCGTGATTCTGTGGCTGCCCTTTGGCAGAAGCCTGCTCTGGCTGACCTCTGAACTCTAGGCCGGCTGGCCACTGGGGATGTAGACAACCTATAGGTGTGCAGAGCAACAGGCAAGATGGGGATACTGGGGACAGTCAAAATATACAAGGAAGACTCAGAAATCCAGAGAAATTGTAACCCTGGAAATGAACCAAGCAAAGGCATTTGGACAATGGGAGGTGTGGGAATTAGACACAGGAAATGGAAGAAGAAACATTATTAAGTGAAGGAGACTGAAGAAAGCAAACAGTAGACGGCCCATAGCTGAACCAGGGTAAGTAGTGTTGTGAAGCTATAGTCGGTCCAGCAGGCTGTCCACACGAGGAAGTTTTATTTCCACAGCTAATAACACTATGGGAAGGCACAGAAGTTCCCTAATTGTTCTGAGACATCGCCTCACAGACTTAAGTTGACTTAAGACACAACTTCCCAATATCCTTCACTTTGTGGAGCGCTGATTTTCCTATTTATTATCACCCTCTTATGACAGAGGTATAACAAGTGGTTATACTAAAGATACCATATCCATGCATGTACAATGCATTCAATAATTAATCTTTCCATTCACAGGATTCAATCTCTAGTGGCAAGTAGGCAAATAGAAATTTGTAAATTTGTTTAGGTCGCCGGGGTACTTGAGCCAAGTTACTGCTACAGCAGCATGGCTCTAACCCTTTAAGGCATCCTCTATTGAAAAGGAATGAGCTTGGCTCCATGCAGAATGCTAATTTGCATTTATTTTGCTTATATGGGCGAACCTACATATGCATATGCATGTAAAATATGATATTCAAACTTGGTAAGAAGTGACAAACCCTTTGTTTAAAATTCCAAACCAATACTATAGTGTTGCTATAAAAACATACCACTTTAAAAAAATATGTGTACATATTGCTGTAGGAAGGTGAAAAAAGCAGTGTTGCTATATCTCAAAATGAAGTAAAAATTAGTACTTAAATATCTAACAAATATAATTAGCCGTCATTATCTACCTACCAATCATTAAAGATATATATTACTATTTAAATATCTATGTGTCAGTCACTAAAGTAAAAAAATATATATATTTTAAAGCAAAGCAGCTCTTTGTTTTTAGTCAAATACAAAATAAATGAGCCAAAGGACATGTGTTCAATTTTTAGACTAACGTATCTGGACGATGTATAAAAGTATATACAAAACATGCTATATTTCCACTCTAAGAATTTGTGACCCTTTATTTCCTAAGGCAAATCTTAACTATGGAAGAAAAGGAAAGAGAGAAAGACATGAAATAATTCATAGTATGTGATTTACCCATATGAGCATTTTCAGGAGTAGAAATAGCTCCCAAGAGTCTTGCATGTGGGAGGGAGGGGGTGCAAGTCACTCATGAGCACAGCCCTGCAGGTCAGTAATGAGTGTGAAGGTGAGAGTAGCATTGGGATTCTGCAGAATGACCGCAAATATGCGAGACAGCATCCTCATTTTAAGATCTTAAAAATCTCTTCAAGAAATTGCAGAAAATATCAACACACAAATAAGTAGAAATAGAATATAATAGACCTTTCTGTTCCAGCAATTTCACAGATGCCTCAACTATTCGAATTAAGCTCTTTATTAAACTATTAACACTGTACATCACCAGTCTCATCTACTGGCCCCAAAGTACTTTCACAGGGTACTTGCTTTTTTGTCACATCACCAGAAACCCAACTTTTCAAAGATATGATAACATCTAAAGGAAGATAGCACAATCTTTATTATGTTGAAACTGGGGACTACCTCCAGCTAGTAGTTCATGCAGCATCTGACAGATATCACTGAGTTTTCCTCAAAAATGTAAACTATCCCTCAAAACCCTCAAGAATCAGCTGAGGTAGCCCAGGGCACCTCGGCACACAGTTTGGGAACCATGGGTTTAACCAACGGCCTTGGATCTACCTCATCAGTCTGAAATCCTCCCTTTTCATCTGTCTCACTGCTTGTTTTCAGATGTTCAGAATTAATAGAACCAGAAAATAAAATCTCTTCAAGATGCATCAATTTACACTTTCAACACCTTGACTACACAACCCTGCTAGCTCCTACATACCACACATTCAATAACATTACCTCCCTTTGATCAGAAGCACTCACCCCTCATTGCTATTTTCAGTTTGCAGAGTTTGCTAAATCCTACCGGTGCCTCTCCTGAAGACATCTGTAGTTGTATGTTTCCACCACTTATGTCTTTCCATGTTTGGTCTTTGAATTATATAGTCTTTGATTTATTTGACCTATTTCTTATGTTGTTTCAAGTCATGTTTCTATTTTAATTATTATCTGCATTAGGAAATTGTTATTTTAAACATATTTAAGAAATTACATTTTAATATGAGAATCACTCTACCAATTTTAAGGTCTATTGACCTTATTACTTGTGATTTTACTAATAATGAATTCAAACCATACTTCCAAGTACTCTTAAGTTCCTTCATGTCCAATAAACAAAGTGCACACTTTTCCTTAAGAAATAAAGAAAAGGTATAAATGTCTAATCGCTATGTTTTACGCCTAAACTAATGTAATACGGTACATCAACTACAATTGAAAAATAAAAAATATATTAGAAAAAGGAAAAAAATGGGAATAGCATGTGGCAATATATAATGATTATATCATCATATTGGTGATGACATTATTTGTCTCTCTTGTTATAACTTTCAAAAAGAATTAAACTTAAGCTGTTCTAGTTCCAGGGGGATGAAGAACTACTTATTGTACATTCCATATACAAAGGAATGTGGGAATGGAACTGGAATCTGTTCGTAAATAGAACATTAACCTTCCAACTTTAGAAGCCTTGTAAGGCTAAACTTATAATAGCTGGTACATTCTCACTTACTTGGCATCATTTTGTGACTTGCATAACTGTAAATATATAGATCATCATATACCTATTCAAAAGTATAAAAACAATTTTTTTTAACATGGTCATTTCAATACTGTGTATACAGTATTATCTTTTATTTTAATTAGGCTAGTTATTTCCACAACTAATAAGAACTATGAGGAGACCAAGAATTTCCATAATACTGTATGTTTTTTAGGAATGCTGTATATGAAATATTCCGTGCCTGTATCAGTTAGTAACATTTACTTCAAGAGGTGTTTAGAACTATCTTCAGGTCTTATAATTGTAGCTAACACACAGTAAACCTAAGTGATAGCTACAAAAGGATATTATCCTGTGGCTCCTAACCCCGAAAGAGAGGTTATCCGTAACTCCACAAGCTAGTTACACTGCTTATAAAAGTAATAATTGGATGTAAATGGTATAATCAAAGTTGAGTTTTATACTTATGTTTTCATTTTTTTAAAAACCATAAAATGTTAAGTAAGTTTGATTTTTTTTTGATTTTTTTTTTTTTACGGAAGCATTTTCATCTACTTCCAAAACAGACTCCTGCCTTTTTGTTTTGTTCTGAGTGGTTTGAGTCTGGGGTGCTTGAAGAATTTGCAGATGGATTCCACGGTTACTAATTCTGACTGTTCATCTTTCCCACGGATGCCTGGCACGTTTCACTTAAAATGCATGGTATTTATTGCATGTGCTTTGTCCTTGGCTGTGGCTTCTGCTATATCATTTTTTTGCTTCCAGATAGCGGTGGGTGTGCTCGCAAACGTGCTGCCATGTCTGTTACATTAACATCTGTGAAGAGAGTTCAGAGTTCTCCAAACCTGTTGGCTGCAGGTATAATACCACTAACTCACCCAATGTCACCCTTCAATGGCTTTGTCTGACCTTTCTCTCTTTCCAGAATTCTCTTGTTTGGATGAAGAAAGTGGCTGTAAATACCTTTTATAATGTCCCACAAGGTCTTACATTTCTTGTCTCAAGAATAGCTCCTATCCCTCCTGACTGTTTTGGTTCTAAAAATAAAAAAGCCAAAGGAAACTGATATCTTGTAGAAACCATTTTAAAAATCTAATTAAAAACAACAGTCACTTGCCAAAAATGTGTTGAGTAACTGCAAGTGTTAATAACTATTTAAGTTTTTGTCTCTTATGAACTAAAGTAACACAGTATTTAATCAAGATAACTCATAGTTGTTTTGTTGGTTTTTGAGCTAAAAACTGTTGAAGGGTGGGGATATAGAGGGTCAGAAAGAGGGATTTGTAGGAAACTAAATATTTATTAATTCACTTCTTTGCCAAAGGTTGCAAAAAGAATGATAGATTATTTATTTTGAATGACATCTTAAGCCTTCCTTTAATCCAGTCAGCAAAGATCCTTCTTATACGTATTTTTAAACATCTTGGTGCAATAGAGATTAACATCCAACCACAGGTATACATATATTCTAGCAAGTAATTGGGAGTGTGATATTTGAGCATCTACTGAGGTATCTCTAATAAATGTCCACCAGCACTTACCTAAGCTTGTAGGCACAGTCCGCTCTGAGAGGGGACGTTGCTGTGGAAGACCAAAGAGCCTGGCAACCCCAGCGACTCCAGACCCAGAAATAGACCCACACCTTTTGGTGACTGACTGATGGGTTTGACTGTTGGTTGGTTACATGGGGGGTCCTTTGTTTTTTATTTCTATTTGTGGGGTTTTGGAGCAGAAGTGAAAAAGGGATGGAGAGTGTTTAAATAATTTTAATTCTCACTGTGCATGTCAGCATCTTTTACATACATATATTTAGTAGTTCATTAAATGCTCAAGATGTCCTTGGTCCTAAACTATCCAGCTCTGTTGAGGAAAAACAAGTTTCCAACTGGAGAAACCCACTCTTGCCCTCCACCTCCAGTTCACAAATAGATTTTCAAGTTTAAATAGCAGGCCAGGTGGTTCCAGAGTATATCAAGTTTCTAAAAATTGAAAGTTTCATTGCAATGTATGTAGTACAATTTCAGTTTGGTTTAAAAAAATATTTCTCTAACTATGTATCATATACACGTTTGCTCACGTGTATATGAGCACAAAAAGATGCTAGAAAAACTACAAATGTGTTTACATGGGATACCTAAGGGAAATGGGGATAAAGGGAAGTAAGAAAATAAATTTAAAAGTCCAGAGCCATCAGGTAATCAAAATGCCTGTACCATGGATATCATTGACATTTCAACCAAGTGAAATTCTAGCCCAGGCTACTCAGTGGACCACTGACCGGTGCACCTGCTAGGGAATGTGGAACTAATTCAACAATGTTAAATTGTTATTTATAAAAGTGACCACTAACGGAATAACAGTGATTGGATTAGAGATTGCCGTTTTGGAAAGTCAACTCTAGAATATCAGCAATGTCATGTCACTAAACTAAAAGAAAATATTTAATGCTTCAGAATCAAAATAATAGAAAGTGTTTAATACTTTAGGAATATGAAATAATCTTCAGTAATAAGTGGGTAGGGCTGTGGGCCATTTTAAATTTTATATCATGAGGCTTAAGATTTCTAGAGAGTGAAGTCCCCTGAACTTTAGTCTTAATTGTTACATTAAAAATAGACCTCTTTTGTATTAAGGCACTTAGGTACGATCCCTTTTTAAAAGAAGTTTTAATTCCATTTTGAAGAAAGAGATCATCCTCTTTGTATACCCTTAACATTATATGGTAGCCTTCATAAGAATTTATTTGACACAGTGTCTTTTTGTGGATCAAAAGGGGATTGGCAAATATTGATTGCATGAGAAATGTTAAAACAGCACAGCCTTTAAGTAAAAGATCACCTCCACGAAAGGTTCCCTCTCTCACCTCACAGATGACAAGTCAATATAAGCTGCTTGTCATCAACTATCTATCCCCTAAATCAGTCTTTCTCATTTCCTTTTACAAGTCAAGTCCCACTGGATAATTCATAGGCACATGGATGTTTTAAATCCAAGCCAGAACCGAAACAATGAGAATAGAGATACAATAAGCCCTTTTGAAGTACATTTTATTTTACCAAAACCACCTGGCAGTCTCAGGTAACACTGAGAAGGATGAGGTGCCGTGGCCGTGACCACTGTGCCAGGAAACACCACTTGCATGTTTTACACCCTTAGGAAAATTCACTTGTAACTCATGTTTCTTTAAAAAAATAGAACTTGTCAATTTCCTACCTCTCTGAGAAAAAAATCACTTCCTAGACTCCCAAAGATCTGTCAAAATTAAATGAGGGTAAATGAAGGAAATAAATAAAAGGCCCATCACAGTACTTAGAAGCACTGCAGGCATTCCGTTCGTGGACTCGAATTTAATGAATATGTTTACATTAATTCTTACAAAGTAATTGAACCCTCTACAGGAAGGAGCTGTAAGAATTAAAATCACAATTCTCAAGAAAAGTATAGTTTATGATGTCTAATATGCCACATTGGTTAGAAGGAATTTAAATGTGGGAACCATAAAGTTGGAAAGGGCATCCAGTCTAGTCCCTGACACCAAGCCTGGAATGAGCGTGGACAACCTGTCTGGCAGGTGCCCCCCTTCTGGAATATATTGCAACAGCTCTTTCATATTTTAGTATAAAAGGATTTTAAATGGCAATAAAATGAAAACAAAGTCTAGAGAATGATTTGAAGCATCACGTAATATGGTAGACACATTTACACTTTTTTCAAGTTAAAAAAACCCTGCAAACTACAACGAAATTGATCGCTGTCTAACATGGAAGTTGAACATGGTAACATCAGGGCATCCAAAGCTATGGATCTCCGGGTTTGACTTCATGCTAAAAAGCGCTCTTTGTGTACAAACCAGAAACCTTTTGATGCTTTCATTTGATATTTAGAAATTCATACATTCCACTTGGGCAATGATAAGATAAAATTACATGGTTGCCATAACACTGGCGAGGGAAATCAGTGTTTGAGAGATGCCTTGATTATATATTAGAGTTACATACTGAATAATATTCTAATTGAAGTAAAAAGTAATGCACAGACTTCTCATCGGTATATTTTATGTACCCAGAATCTTAGAACTGAGATAATGTTGCCAAATAAAACAATGCATGTAGTTCTTCGGCCAATGATCTTGACTTGGTGGTTCATTTCCTTTACCCTCAAGTAATCAGAACATTTCCTTTTCTTTTAGGCCGTGATTCTCAGTCACCAGACTCAGGTACAGAAAAGCTCTTCTGAGTAACCATTCCATTTGTTGTGTGCTTTTTAAAAAATATACTCATAAACACATCGTTAACCTCGCCATAAAGTTAAATTGCATGTACAGTTGTGCGTATTAAATTAAATTTCTAAAGAAAACTTCGAATTTATTTTTACTTCAAAAACTGTTAAAAGTGGATGTAGATATTGTTGTATCCAATTTGTGTTCTCTTAATAAAAGCTTGGAGATCTTACAATGACCCAAATCAAGAGCCACTGAACGGAGATGCTACATATTCCTCTCTTGCAGCCAAAGGCTTTAGAAGCGTGCGACCAAACCTGCAAGAAAAAAGATCGCCCACCCAGGTACTCCTGCCCTGTCTACCGCGTCGTTCTAAAGCAAGGTCGTCAGACCACCGCTTTTCCCTGTCTCTTTTCTAGTAATATGTGCATACTTTGATACATGTTCTATTTTTAATATGTGTTTGATTTTGTGTTTGTACTGCTGCTCAGACTTGTATTGACAACACAGGTCTTAAGACAAGTCTTAAGTTCAAAGCAGGTTCGTTTTTGTTTTTGTTTTGATTTAGCTGATAAAAGCAGGTCAGTTTCTAGCCTAATGTTTAGGTTATTTTCTGATTCTTGTTGCCAGCTGATGATTTAGACTTCAAAGTTATGAAGTTCAGCAATACATTATATACTTAATAAATAGGAGTTATGCAACTGCTCATTATAGTAACTAAAGGAATTCTGTGTTGGAGATATTAGCAAAATTGTGCTGCGGCAGGAAAAGTGTTATCAAAACAGTGTGACTAAATTATATATATATATATATATGCTTCAAGATCTAAAAATATGCAAGAGAACGTATGTTGACTTTTAATGTAGATGGAGACAAACTTTACAATGTATTCTCTAAACTATTTTCCCCTAGAGGGCAGCTTTTGATAAAATAAAACACATTCCTAGTGGAATAAAATTGATCAATCTAGCCAATAAAATATATAGTATAAGAAGGTATGGTATTGCTTTACTCTCTATAAGGATAGAGTTAGTACTGGTTTCTTTAATGACTAATGTTGACTTTCTCTCTGTTTTTCCTTCAACATTGTTTCTTTTTCCGGATGCTTTTGGCAATCCAGGCACCCCCTCCACCCCCCAGAAAAGAGAGCTTTTGTAGCTCCTTGACAACCAGCCACACTAAGGGTGACATTTTAGACCAGTTAGTAACTAACCCACAAGTTCCCTCCTGCACAGAGTACGTTACTAATAAACCTCTTCAGGGAACTATGTGTTCTAATGAAGATGACTCCACCCAGACAATTGTATATTCTGAAGAATCTAACACAACTGTGTCGTATACACAGAAAATTACTAATCTGCTACCGCCAGCTTCCAGCCCAGGTTCCCCACCCAATACTGACACAAGTACCCCATTTCTACAAGAGGACTATACGGAAGATTCCCAAACCCGGAAAACTTCTACACTGAAACTAATCCATAACCAGGACCTAGGAAGCAGCATCCCCTTTTATGCTCCACAGCTTTCCAAATCTGTTGACTTACCATCATTTCTCAAAAGGCCCTGCTCACCACCCCCTAACCCAGTGCCTGAGAAACACACAGCATCTCTTTCCATTCAGATAGCTCCCCTGTCAGGACACGATCCTGAAAGCCAAAAACAGCTACCCGAGCCTTCTCCAGAGACTACAAAGACACCTCTTCAGCAAGAGAGACAAAAATCTGCAGTTGCTGCGACCTCTCAGTCCTCAGACTGCCGGGTGATCCATTACACTTTCCAATCTCTTCTCACAGGTGTCCCGCAGAGACCCTAACTCCTTGGCTCTGGGCTTCTTGTGTAACATGTTGCTTTGTTAGTGTCCCATCAGGAAGGGAAAGGAGAAAGAAACCATCTTCCTATTTAAAACCCTACTAAATTCATCAATAAATTTGTAGTTTTCTTTTTGTTTAAAAAAATATATAAATATACAGTTCTTTTATCCAGAAATCATGTTCTAAAAGTTTCTTCCTTCTAGGTATTCATTAGAAATCACTGATGGTCATTTATCACTTAAAACTTTGCAAACCACTTTGGTGTTCAAAGTACTTTTAAGTGTTAAAGAAATGTGCTTCACACCAGACCTTTGAACACCTAGATTTCCTTTATTCACAGGTATAAAATCTCTTAACTATTCACTCCTCTGATTTAGATATCATATACCATCAATGTGCCCAAATCTGTGTGACCGTTTTAGGTCCTTTGTCACCAGGTCTTGGGTAGAGACTATAAGGCTGTTAAGAAGTCTGGTAAAAGAGTTTTTGTGCTGAGGTTATAGGGTAATCTTGGATCATGAAAGGAGGTGGTACAGTCAGGCCTTAGGGGAACCGGACAATGACGTTCGCGACCCTCTCTCCCTCCGTCTCACGTGCCACCTAGCTCCCGTCTCTCCCCTCCGTGAGTTGACCTCAGTCTCACTGTAGCCTCTGTTCCCTCATAACTTCAAGCTGCCTGTGAATGTCCATGACATTCTCTGTGTCAACATGCACCTGGGGCCCTGGGATACAAAACTACCTGACTGGGGCATTCCGTGCTATATAATTCAGATCCCCAGGAGGGAGGCAGTGCCTCCCTGGCCCAGCTTAGTTCAGGTAGCCCCCGTCCTGAGCAGGAGCTGTGGCCGGTGAAATGCAGTCACCTAGGAACACGTGGCTGCCAGACGTTTCCTCCCCACTCCCTCAGACGGGGCTGAGCGGAGGCTGATGATCACAGGAGGAGTGGGGTGGGAGGGAAGGATTTCCTTTCCCAAGAACACTTAAATTGTTTATTTTAAAATTGTCATGGAAATTTAACATCTTAACAATGATATGGGTAATTATATCACTCCCCCCCAGGTATTTCCTTAAGTATGTTACTGTCAACTGAATTGAAAAGGGGGATGAGACCTGCCAGATCCCTTTGCCTGGAATTTAACATATTCTGTACGTTCCTTGAGAAACGAGGCTAGAAGCTCAGCCATTAAAGAGGCTAGAAGGGGGATGTTAAGACCCAGGGCACAGTGCGTGTTAAGCCAATTGGAACCAGAGACAGAAAGAAAAACAAGTCCCCCACATACATGTTTTTATGTATTGTTAATTTTTTTCTAGAACATTTCACTAGTTTAAAAAAATATTGAAAGGTTTAAAAGTTGGTGTATTAAAACTGAAGATTCTTTTAAGTTTAAATGTTTTATTTATGCCAAAACAGAATTTATTATCATTTTGCTTCATCTTAGTTAAAAATTGTTTAACATCATCACTGGTCAAGAGGGAATCATCAAACATGACTATTCTCTCAACTGAAAATGAGATCAGGAAAACACAGATTTTGAACCTATTATTTTATTATAATATTAATGCTTCCGTTAAAAATCCAGGATACAGATTTTTCCATACCCCAGTCTTCAAAATGGCTTGTTATGGTATTTGTCATTATTTAAATCTTTGCTATTTTGTTCAATATGAATTTGGGGGGCACTGAGTTTTATTTTTTTCTAAGATTGTATTAAAATAGTGTTTATCTCACTGAGTTTTGTTACTCCATTAAATTTTGCACCCAAGATAAGTGTCTCACTCACCACCCTCCACCTTTATATCAGCACAGGGATGGCCTGGGGGCTTGTGACTATAAATCTGCTTTGTTTAGTTGCCACTGAATTCATTTTATTTTTCATTTGAACACCTTGAGGAAGGCCATGCTCTCCATTGCACCACAGTTCCTGTCATTCCCTCTGTCTAACACCCAGCCTGCACATTCTGGATACATCCCAAGCCCAAGGCAGGCCCTTGAGTTTGCAATGCCCACATCTAACCCAGTATACTTTTTCCGCTGGTGAAGCTCACACTTCCTGAGTCCTCTGGCTCCCTGAGTCCTGAAGGGCTTCAGCCTAAAGTTAGTGGTCCCTTTCATCCAAAGGTTCTCCTTACCATTCTGGACTGAAATCCTTTGGACCAGGAGGCTCAATGCTATTTCAAATAACTAAGTGCTCTCTCTTAGGACATTAGCATGTTGAGGCTTAAGCTCTGGCCCTTTCCTTTGCGGAGACCAGACAGCAGCAAGCTGGTATTTCTAGCTCTTCCATCCCTCGTCCCTCAACAGTAAAAAGGAACTTAAACTCACAAAAAGTTGGGGACCGTTGGCTTATATTCAAACACTTCAACCTTACATGGTCTTAAAAAGATGGAAACACAACTGTGATGATTTTCTGCAGTCATCTATCTGCTGACAATTCAGTAGGGAAAACAAAATACAAACAACAAAGCAAAACCTGTTCTTGTTTTAAATTTGTTTTTCCCACTTCAAGGTAATGCAGGTTGAGAAAAGACTTCCTCCTTTCCTTTTTCACTTTCCACTTTCCTCCTCTCCACCTCACATTCTCCTCAGGGAAATAGGTATATTGTGATTCTCCCTCCTCCCGTGTCTGAGAGGGTATTTCTTGAATGAGGGGGAATGTGACAGCAGGGTTATGTGAAAGGAGCCCCAACTAGTCTAAGAGGTAATTTACATCTTTACCCCAAAATATTTCAGAGCTTTTGTGTGGGTGACCAACAGGCTGTTGAACTTCTGAGTTTCAGCTGTAGAAATCTAAGTGTGGTATGATGCACCTGGAGGCATTTTATCTGTTACACATACACACGCACACACACGCAAAGACTCAAAACTGTGAGCATATCAGAAGGTGGTAAGAGAAATTCAAAAAGTGAAATAGGTCTGTTTCCGGTAGACAGTCTTTTTAGAAGAACAAATAAATGGATACAGGCCATTCCTGGACACGATGCTACACCAGCTGACCACATGACGCACAACAATGGGGGTTTTAAATAGAATGTGCTTTAGCCTTTGACATGTTTCTTGTCCAAAGGATATGAGCAATCCCATGAGCATTACAGTCATTAGACTTTTCCTTTTAATTTCAAAGGAAAGAAAAACTCCTTTGAGAAGAAAACTCAAATCCTTTTGCATGATTTATATTGTTTAACGGAATTCTCACTTAATGTAAACAAAACTAAAGAGATTCATGTTCTATGGAAACCTCTTTAGTGAGCTGCATTATTATGAGAAATGCCACTGACACCATCCAACCCCAGACTCTCTACACATTCAGACTTGTAGCAAAATTCTAACGTATTAAGTTGTAATTATTATAGTTCCAGACTATTACAGTTTCACTTCCAATAAAATCTGCGCTCCTTGTAAAAATTTACTAATAACAAGATACATCCTACTAGAATATTTTAAATTCTGAGTAACTAAAATGTCTGTCAGTTGTTTCTAGGGATTTTAAAACCATGTACAGTAGGAGTATCACATTTATGATGAATATGTTTAAACAACAACAAAAGCTATTAAAGAACAACAGAATAAGGAAATCTGTCTTTTTATCCAGAGTTAGCGTTTCTGGGCCTGTTAGATTAAGGATGTGCTTCAGAGCATCTATGACCCCTGAAGTTTGTGCAGAATTCTCTGTACACCTACATGAATCTGCGCATTTTTTCTTAGAGGACGGTAAAGAGCTTTCGCCAGGTTTTTAAGGCACCTATGACTGAGAAAGACCTTTTTATATGGTGGACTTTTTTAAAAGTATTCAATTAAAAGTCTGGGAAAAAATAGTTATGACTTTATAAGCTCAGCAGCCTTCTTGACATCAACTGTTATGAAAATGATGGCTGGCCAAGAACACCAAATGGTACCAACTAAATCTATTTTATATTTTATTATTTTATTTTATTTTTGACAGTATTTCAGATGTCCCTCAATGCTCCCTTACCCCCCTCCTCCCAGCCACTGCGCGCCCCCAGGCCTCCACCACGCCACTGTGCGTGTCCATTGGTTATGTGTATATGTATCTGAGTTCTTCTAAATCTTTACTGGGCAAGATTTCTAAGTTGAACCCGTTCCCTTTCATTCATTCTCCATCCTTGTATTAATATTCTGTAGTGCTTTTGGCTTTCTACCTTACCACTGGCACCACACCAAACACCACACAACAGCAACAACAACAAACCCAAACCCTCTATTCTGAAGGCGCAGGCGAGTGAGAGAGAAGTCGGCTTCAGAGTTTCACTCACTCGTGGTGAGGCTGATGCTTATGGTCATGTTAGACGTGTGTGGCCAGACACCCCCGCGGTTAGAACGGACCCCTCCAGGCCTTTCACAGGCCACCCTCCACCCTGCTGAGTGACACAGCCTTGGAGGACTTAACCTCGGCTCTCTCCTTCAGTTTCTTTCTCCTTTACCTATGACTTGGTAGGTAAACCAGCAGCAGTTCTAACCAACTAGGGTATATTCTAACCATCACCAGTGGCTGGTTTTCTTCTTTCACTTCGTTGTCACACGTGCGCACCACTCTGCATGGTTACGGTATTTTTTTTAACTCTTAGTATTTCGTAGTGAAATCAAGAAAGAGGTTCAGTGAGTGGAAAGAAGACAAAATTCTCTTTCCATTTAGTTGTTTTTCGTTAGATTAGTCTTTATATCTGGAAGTCATAAAAAGGTCAACAAACCGATTGATATTTGGGGGACGTTTCCCAGGGAGGGGAGGGGTGCAGTGGATCCTCTGCAGAGGCTTTTCCAGTAAAGGGGAAACTAGTTCTGCCGATCAATAGACAACCTGATGTCATTTTACCGTCACAAGTACAGAACCTAAAACTTGCGAGGAAAAAAGTTCCATTATGGCGACAGTCTCAAGCCCCCACCCAGAATGACGATGCAGTGCCGCGTGACTGCCGGGCTCCCCTCCGAAAACCACCTCCTGGGGCCCCTTCTTCACGCTCTCTGCTCCTCTGCACTGTGTGGGGGCACCTAATCCTCTCACTGGATTTCCTTCAAGCGCTTGCCAGTAAAAGCCATGCTCTGCCTTCTCTGCCGCGAGACGACGAGATGTGTTACTGGTTGGATAATTTATATCTCCTCTTATCCTCTCTTCCTCAATCTCAGCCTGGAAACCAGAACTTACCCGCCAGTGTCCTGGAGGTAAATGCTTCACAGACACACAGACACACAGACAAACCGCACCCAGGCCTCCTCTCCTGTCCCCTCCTGTGCCACCTTTCATCCAAAATGCTTCCACCAAAGCCAGGCTGCAGGCCGGCATCCCTTCCCCGGCCCCGCCTGCGGACTCGGGGTGTCATGGGCTCGGTTTATATAAACCGCCTCTCCTCGCCCCGACCGCCTCGTCCACAGGCTCCTCGGCCCTGGAGCCAGCGCCCCGGCCGCCCCACACGAGCTGCAGGCAGTGGCCTGACGCCACTGACCGCAGGGACGCAGCCCCCAGCCTGGGTCCAGGTCGCCGCCCCGGCCGCACCTCCTTCGTGGCCCCTGTTGCCACACAAGGAGTGTTCTTCCTCCCTTGGACCTATCATTTTTCCAAGAGACCTCCAAAGGCCAAAAGGGCTGGTTTTTCGTCTGCCGTCTCATTTTGCTGCTGAGCATTTTATTCGCGTAGCTGTTGATTATTAGTAAACCCATTCTATACAGTCTGCCAGGGAAACAGGCGACAGTCACCCTCATAAACTTGCTTTGGGCTGGAAAAGTCAGTTATAGTCTCTCCACTCGTTTGAGAGCTGACTTATGTTTACACTGGTTGCTCTAGCTAATGAGCTGGACAGTGAGTTGCCTTGATAAGAAGTCATCTCAGAAATTTAGATAAGTACACATATAATATTATGAAGATTAGAGTATAGAGAAAGTAAGCTTTTTTTAAAGTTTTAACCCAATATTGAATCCTGGTGGACAACTGTTCAACTCAGAGACTGATGTGACTGTGAGTGTCTGTACCCTTTCTCACATGCACGACTACTGACTACCTCGTGCTAATGCTTCCTGCTCCCCTCACTAACACCTACTTCTTTTTTTTTTAAGAGTATATCTTTTTTTAAAAAGAATATGTCTTTATTGATTTCAGAGAGAGGAAGGGAAAGGGAGAGGGAGAGAGAGGTAGAAACATCAATGATGAGAGTCATTGATCGGCTGCCTCCTGCACGCCCCCCACCGGGGATCGAGCCCGCAACCCAGGCCTGTGCCCTGACCAGGAATCGAACCTCAATCTCTTGGATCCTAGGTCAACTCTCAACCGCCGAGCCACGCCGGCCAGGCAACACCTACACCTTTTGAACCCATCTGTCTAATGGGACTGAATGATGTAAACGATCCTCACCTACCTGCAGAAATTGAGCCCTATAATTTTTTTTTTTATATTTTACCTGAGCCATTCCAGTATAGACATTTATGAATACATTATTATTTCATATATCAATAATTTATCTTCCACTTAGAACAATATATATTTCCCATGTATATCATATCATTTAAATGTCTATATGATAAGCAGTCTCAAATAAGGGATTCATGAGTGGATGAAATGATTCAGAATTTTATAGCACAGGTTTTCATTTTCATATAATGTGTAGATAATGACTTCAATTTGAAAAGCATATAACTTTAGACAAAAAAAAAAAAATGGAAATATGTTTTTCTAAAAAACTGGTTGTATAATGAAGTTTTAAATAAGCGCTATCATAGACAAAATAGGATTAGGGCCACTTTCCTAAGTTTAGTAACAGTAAGTAACATGATGGTCTTTGATAAGAACTTTCCTGTTTTTAACATTAATTATAACACATTATAACAACAGTATTAAAATTATATTTACGAAGATCAACCAAACTTGATTTGGGCAAGAAGGAAAAAATATTCTCAAATAATTCCTCTAAGGTGAATAAAAGAGGTCAGAAGCTTGTGGGTGAGCCAGCGCCTCACCCTTACTTGAATGCCCACTGCTCTCCTGGTAGAGGGTCCTCGAGATACAGGTACCTACGATGCGGGAGTGATTTCCACCACAGCTTAGAAAAGTGCTTACTCAATAAGCACCATCGCGGTAATGAAACGTTTGACTTTAGGGCAGATGTGGTATAGCTATAAAGCAGTGAAACCAGGTTTATTCCAGGTGTTTTGAAACATCTGCTTTAAAGTGAAAAAAATCGTGGAAATAAGCAACTAATCGCTCACCTATGTGTCAGGCCTGCGTAACAGAAGTTTATTTTGCATTAAAATAAGTAGAAAAGTTCACAAATTCTGCTTCTTTGTCTATGTGCATATGTGTGTTTGGTGTGCTCAGCTGTAAGGCCATTTAAACTGCTCTTACCAGTGCTGTGTGTCATTCGCATGCGTTGCATAATCTCCACAGTGCTCAGTGTGTTGTGGACAGAGAGGCGTGTTTCACGGTCGTGAGCTCCGCCTCTGTGAACTAGGCTGATTCAATTGAATTAGAATATGTATCTACTGAATATCTACTCTGTTATTAGCACCAGGATGCATGCTATAAAATATATGTATAAAAGAAGCATTTATATGGCCATCTTCAACAAGAAGCTTGAAATACCTTCGGGGATATAAAATACTCAGGTATAAAGCTTAATAAATTATTAAGCAACCAAACAGAGGCCCATAAAGCGCTAAATGAGATCGGAGGAGGGAGAGGCCAGCAGTTTAACATGGCCTTTTGATGCTTTACCAGGTATTTGACCCTTCTAGAATAGATTGATTTATGGTATATAAGTCCAAACAATTATGTTCCTTATATTAACGATCACCTTGCCCTGGAAACATTGATTCTTCCGAGGATATCCCTGACCACGTCTGAAAACCAATTGCCTTCCTCGTGTCAAAGAACATTCACTTCAAATCCCACATGCAGAGCAGTGCGGCCTGATCTGACTACTTAACGCAGGACTGTAAGAGTGAATGTGCCCTCAGGTTTACTTTATACTCACTGCTACCCTTGGCATCTCCGTTGGCAGAGTGCCATGCCCACTAGTCGGCTGCTTTCTAATGCCCCTGTGCCCTCTGACATAGAAGAGTGATTTTCAGAAACAAAGGAAGGTTGAGAAGGTACTGAAAACATGCACCCTCTCCCTCTAGACATCAGTTTTCAGAGCAACAAAACTGGACAGCTGATGACTGTCATTTGAATGAAGTCTATTGTCATCTAACGGAGTGATGCTTATAGGGGGCTGTGCTTTAACGGGATGTGTCCGTGCTTTTTTCAGAGCCAAATAACAGTGAATGGAAACTCTGGAGGTGCTGTGAGTCCAATGAGCTACTACCAGCGACCGTTTTCACCTTCAGCCTACTCTCTGCCAGGCTCACTCAATTCCAGCATCATCATGCCACATGGCCGGTCACTCGGTAAGTCACTGGGTTGTCTTGGTTTTCATGACAATTTCAAAATACCAAGTGCAAGCGTGAGAAAAATACAAAGCATCGAAGTAATTTCCAGAAAGGAGGCAGACACATCCAACACTTGGCGATTTAACCACCCTGTCCTCGGGGAGGCGTTGGGGACCGCAGGAATTCAGCGTCGGGAGACATGGGCCCCCAGCTATTCCGAGGCAGGGATTGCTTCTGTACTTTACCCTGGAGAAGGCTGTTAGATACTTGGGGTGGGGGGTAGGAAGAGAACGATGGGCCGTTAGGGATGGGAGTGTTCACACCACCAGGAGAACATTCACACCGTGCGTTTCCATGCATGGTGAAGACTGTCCATGTCGAGGCACCCACGCTTTCATGGAAAAACTTTCACTGTCGAAAATTCTTTTGGTGTCTGTAAAGAACTGGTTAACAGTTCACACAGTCCAACAGGGGGACAGGCTGCCCCACAAGGTAGTAAACTACTCCACTGAGGCCAGAAGACCATCATCAGGGACATGAGTCCCTTTAAATGATGATCCAGGAATTTCACAGAGACACGTCTCTTAGTCTATGGGGAATTGAGAATTAGATGAAAGATATAGCTTTTCTGTAACAACAAAATGAACACTTGAACATTTATAAGAAATTTTCCAGCATATAATTTCATGGGGCTCATGAATTCTTCAAAGCTTCCTGGAGCAGAAAGTGGGCTATATAATGATAGAAACATTTTTTATGGGGCAAAATATATTAGAATGGCTTAGAAAATAATGTCATAAATCTGAGTTTTTAAAAATGTATACAATAACCCTGAGCATTAAAATAAACAGACAAAATCAAACCATCGTATGAATTGAAGCTGAAAAAGGTTTCATGATGTTGAAGGGGGTTCCCAGGGCAGCAGGAAGCAGAGAGGAAGGCAGAGGAGCCTGTGATCGCAGCAGAGATCTCAGAAAAGCAAGAGGGGACCCATCCTCTGGCCACCGACCAACCACAGAGAGAAAGAAACTAAAACACAGGGCTTTAACGCCAATTTCCTCTCGACAGCAGGCAGAATTTCTCCCCTCTTCCCCAACACCGGTTGTGTATTGAAAGAACATGACGCTGTTAGTTTACCCAGGAACATTCAACTTGTACATTGTGGACTCAACTTCTATGTCAACAAAAGCTCTAGAAGACTTACAAGTAGCCTTAAGAACCCATTAAAGAAAGAAAGTCTAAATATACTTGCGCCTTTCCTAATGCCACTCCTGGGGTGATCATGATGTCCTTATAATGATGTCCTTTTAGAATATAAGAAAGTAGAACATCCTTGTGCCTAAATGTTGCCCTTAGTCAGTCACCGGTGCAGTATTAGAATGGGAGCCCATACATCTAGATTTTGTACAGAGCTATGCAAATTCACACATCTGTAGTAAAACTTTACAAGTTATTCTAGCCATAATATTTTCCCAAATAATTATTATCAGAGTTTTGACTCTCTCACCCCATTGCTTGTCTTAATGAACACAATTTTTTCCCTTCCACCTCAACAAACAAAATATATAAATACTTGAATGTAGGCAGGGTTTTATGTAAGAACACACCAATGGGTAGATTTTACACATAAACTACATACATGGAAAGAAATTCTCTATATAAACACTGAACAAACTGAGATAGGTCCTGAGGAGAATATACAAGTCTCTCCTGCCCTAGAGAAACTTTATATTTAGTTGAGGACAAAAGATTGCCAAAATGAGCGTTAGTGGGCCAAATAAGAGCATAATAAAATAAAAGGCTAACTTGTATTATGTAAGTTCATGGAATCGTATGAACCATAGAGTTAACAGCTGTTTGCTTAGGCTGGGACTCTGCACATACTTGTTGCTCAAAAACTTTGCTTTTTGATACAAACACTAGATCATGGGTGCCCACTCAAATCCTTTTTAGAATTAAGTGGAAAATCCAAGTCCAATATCGCAGTGTCTTAATTTGGAGTTGCTTGGAAAAGGTGACTTTTATACACAGTGGTACGTAAAGCAGTTTTATTCCAGCCTTATCCATTCTTTATCAGAAATGGGTTGAAAATGCCTTTCTGTTGTAAACGAAATAGAAGAGCCGTAATGGCAATAGCAGGTATAACATTTAGCTTATCTCTACTTATCCTTATAATGAGTTAAATTTTCTAAATCTTATTTATGAAGCTTTGTATAAATTTTCCATAAAAGCACAGTCATATCTTTTAAGATATATACAGTGTGGGCAAAAGTAGATTTAGAGTTGTTTGTATGGAAAATAATGCCATGATTAATAAATAATAATACAAGAATAAGCTTTTGCACACTTACAACTATAAACCTACTTTTGCCTGTAAAAGTAAATATAAACCTCCTTTTATACACGCACATGCACATCAATGCTACCCCGAAACATCAGGACTTTTCCATATCCACATAAAAAGAGACCTTTCTGAGTGACAGATCTGACCAACTATGTCAAAGAATCATTGTTGGTCACCAAAATTTTGAAATTTATTGTAAAAAAAAAAGAGAAAGAAAAAAGCTAACAAAATAAAGAGAAAAAAAACAGGAAGTTGTATTATCAGTTCTATCAGATGACTGGTAATAATGCCGATTTTCATAAATATCTATGGATTAAGGGTAAGTGGACTATGTAGGACCCGAGTCCTCTCCTTTCTTATGAGAGTGGAGAAAAGTTAATAAAGACGGCATGAAGACAGGTAAACCTCATCTAATTTATATGCTTAGGGTGAGCTTCATACTCAAGGAGCAAGAATCATGGTTTTGGGAACTTTAAACTAAAACCAAAGACATTATGGCCACCTTGGCTACGTAAATAAAAACTAATACTAATCATCTGTTTACCCATAAGCCTTCACATCCAGGTATATGTCTGGATATGAAGATGTTTTCCTGTGATTTTTGTTTTCACTCTATTTTCATGAAATCACTGTCGTAGACTCAACAGTCATATCTTTTGTCCTAAGAGTGAATTTCAGGATTCTTAAATAAGGGTAGCCAGCAGTTCACAAACATAATATTAATGTGATCTATGACCTGAGGGAAACCGCTCAACTTGTCCCATCTTCTGCCCCGACGAGATTACTGGAAGGATGAGACGAGACAACGCAAGTGCTTTTCTTACAGGCCGCCACAGGTCACAGGGTCTCTCACAAATGCTGTTCTTCCCCTCACCCTTCTCCATAAAATGGGGAGGGTCTTGTTATAGGTGTGTTCAGTATACACCCCCATGCTAACGACCAGTGGTGCAAATTCAAGGTAAATGAGCTAAAAGAGATAGAGATGGAAATACAGACGATGTCACGTTTAGCATAAAAAGGCAAGAGATACCATTAAGTTTTGATTCCCCACGCATCTCACGCATCATCTGTCACCACACTTTCTCCCCAGACTCCACAGACACATATGCCCAGCACGCACAGTCCCTGGACGGCGCCTTGGGCAGCTCCATCCCACTGTACAGATCCTCCGAGGAGGAGAAGAGGGTGACGGTCATCAAAGCCCCGCATTACCCAGGGATCGGGCCCGTGGACGAATCCGGCATCCCCACGGCGATCAGAACGGTAGGTGGACCGTGGCTGGCTCCGCGCATCCCTTGGTCTAACGCAAGGAGCACCGTTCTCATGGGTATTATGCTGTGTGCGGCAGAGAGAGGACTGTCTGTCGGAGCCAATCACGCAGTCTGTTTTTTCATTTAAATTAAAAATCATGAAACTTGTGATTGTGTTAGACGACAAAGGTCTGTTTTGATTTACTTTTAACCGGGGAGCGTTAGGGCGCTAGGAGAAAAGAGAAAGACAGAGAAAATGTGAATTGTTTGACTGCATCGAATTCCCACGTGCGTTGCAAATAATCCAGTGATTTGTTCCCTGAAGTGGATGTGTGTTGACACCAGGAGATGAAGAGCTGTGAACTGGGAGCAGGGAGGTGAGATGATCGGAGTGGAGGGAGTTAATGTCATGGAAGAAAAACGAAGAAAGAGACACATTTTAGTGTCCCTCTTCAGCCGTGCCTGCTGAGAGCCCTCGGGGATGCTGAGTGAAAGGGTTTGGATTTTTTTTTTTTTCTGGCTTTAAACTCTGCCAGAGCATTGCTCAGTGTGTGGGGCAGCCCCTTCTGGCAAAGCTCAGCAGCAGCAGAGGCTGCTAGTTGAGAGCCCGGGCAGGCAGCTGCTGGCTGAGCCAGTCCGCTTGAAGACAAGGTCTGTGCTACGGCGGCAAGGAGGACTTGGGGACCAGGATGAGAGCAGCAGCACCTTTGCAGGTGACGTTGGGGGGCGGTTCAAGAATGGAGCTCAGGCTGCCTGCACTTATCCGCAACACCCACATACCTGGCTGGGATGTTGCCAGGCGCTCCGTCCCTGGAATGCAAACCTGGGGGCCGGAGACAATCGTGGACAGAGGGAAAGAATGGGAAAGAGATCAGAAAAAAGCAGTGGTCGGATCGGAAACACTCAAGCTGAACTAAAGAGCAAACGTGAGGGTTTTCTTCTCTCCTTGAACTTGCATTTATTATATGGGGATTACGTGTTCTATAGACAGAGAGAAGAGTTAAAAATTAACTATTCCAAGCATCTGTGTTAGAATTGGAAGCAGGAAAGTAAACCTGTATATCAGTTGCTGTGGGCTTTATACTCGTTAGATTCTGAGAACCCTGAATGTGGCTAATTATAAAGTCCTAAAAATCTGTGTTGGAACTGGCGATTGACATATTTAAGGGGCAGGAAAAGTTCAGGGATCATGACTAACATTCTTAATCTTATGGTGACTACATGTTTCTGGTGATAGTGTTGTTTGGTTTGTTTCCCTTTCTAGATTTCTGATTCAAAATGGTTACATTTAAATTGTTTTTTCCCACTGATATAGGGATATAGTGCCAGACAGGTGTGGTGTCGTTGGTTCTGTTTGATTGATCCTTGAGGCACAATATATACACAAATTAGGAGATCCCTCATTCTGTCTAGTTATAGATTCTGTCTGAAACAATTTTATCTGGGTATGTTTCTAAGTCAACAAATGATATGTAAAAATGAACATGCAAAGCTGGACTTTTTTTAATCCATAAGACATAATTTTCTTAAATAGCAAGGCCTTGCTTGTTAGTTTTTAAAAGAGATGTTGTACATAGTGAAAATCAAGTAATACTAAGTTTTGAATATTGTTCATCTATTGCAAATCAAAAGCGTGTTTAGACATGCATAAGTAAACACAGATACTAAACAAGGCTGGTCTTCCTTCCATCAAATAGGAGATAAAATATAATTTCAAGGTACAGCTGTGCTCTTATTTAGATGTTTAAAACTTTACAAAGAAGGTGTGGGCCCGTGAAGACGCTTCCTCACATCTCCTATTTGCAGTCTTGCCGAGCACATCCCCAAGTATAGCTGTGTTTATAAATGTCGAGACGGGCCATCTCTGAGCCACTGCAGGCCAAGACTCTCCGGGGTTGTTTTTCTCTCTCACCCACGTAGAAAGTAGTCATTATCAGACTTGGATTGCCTCACACGGGCTTTCTGCTGAGTGTCTGCACCAAAGGCAGCACTGTCTCACTGTATCGTGTTATAGTCTCACTCTAGACAGCCGGCACATACCGAGGAAACAGCGTTTCATAAAGTCACCCAGAAACTCTAGAGGGCCAGGAGTCAACAAATGCACCTTTGAGATAATTGAACAGAGGCAAGCAGCTCCCCCGACTGCCCTCTCGCATGACCTGGGCCCTCTGTTAGCCTTTCACTTCCATTTTTAACAACAGCAGCAAAACCCACCAGGGTTCAGATCCCACGAGGCCATCTAATGATGGCCAGCTCGTTAAGTGAAATACAAGACTCTTTTCTTCTCATTCAAATGCAGCACCATGTGAGCATTTTCAAAGCTGGAAAGGAGCAAGCACAGCCTAGAGTAACTGTACAGGGGTGTGTAGAGCGTATGTGTGCTTCTCCTTGTGGGAAAGCCCTGCATGCTAAATCCATGTAGAGCTCTACTGTTCGGTGAACTGTAGGAATGTATAAAAACCCAGGTACGTTCAGCCGAGGTTACAGAAAACAACTGAACAGGGAATTCCCAGTAGTTAGAGTCCGTGCGAAATAATGTTGAAGGGCACATGCAAAAGTAAACATCCTCAAATCTGAGTAGGCTCCTGTTTGCTCAGCATTGGCCATAACAGTCCCCATGACAGCATTTATAAGAGGAAGCTGAAATGCTTAGAGGACTTGTTTTAGAACAGGACACAGAGTTTTTGTCTCCCTTTGACCAGTTTCATATTCCCCTTTGCCAACTGGCTGGGCATTTCTGGCATCTCTGTGCTCACCATATAAAGCTAGCAGATGGCAGAATGGAGATCCTGCCCCATACGTGCCCTCCAGCAAGGGAAGGGAAAAAATCCTGTCTGTCAGGATACATTGCCATATACAGGGATACAACTTACTTATTAGGCATCCTTGTAGCCATTGGTTGTGTCCAGGTATGGCTGGGAAACATTTCTGCTGAAGCTCATGTTTTATTTTCTATTGCTGAGTACTGTAAAGGAAATAAAGCTCAATGAAAGAGAAATCGATCTTTAATGAAAAGAAATGTCCCTTAAAGATACTTGATCAGCTGCTTTGTTTACACCAGCTAATAAAAGCTAGACTCCTGCACCCTGTCCCACCAGCTCCCACCATTTCAACATGAGCTCAGTCAACAAGCCCCTCAATTTTTCTGCTGTAGAAAGAGGCTAGAATGACTGAAGAGGTGATTTGCAACAAAGTCAAGTAGCCTTTAATGTTAATCTATATTTGTGGTGATTACCAGAATCATATATTCCTAGACACCAAAATATAATTGGATATAGCACAAAACCTTCAATTTCCAGATGAAAAATGCAATGGCCAAATTTCTGAGAGAAAAATGATATCAAACTGAAACCAGAGCTCAGCATAACAAGAATATTTTTGTGACAGTCCCAACGGAATATTTTATATCAAGGGAATTGTCCCGGAAAATCTGGCGTATTTAATTACTGTACACAGAGTGGCTGACCGTCTTGCCCTAGTAGCTCTGGAAATGCTGAGATAAAGATCTTGCCAAGAAAAATCTTTAATTAAGATTATGAAGGTGTCCGTCTGCTTTCACAGGTACACAGTATGGTAGAGTTCCATCCAATAACCTGGATTCATTCATTATTTTATTCTGTAAATATTTGAAGTTCCCTACCGTTATTTTTTATTGTGCATTTCTTACATCGTATACATTGCTCTAGTCAGTTTCTGTAACAATCCTGTGATGTGGATATAATTATTTCATTTAAAGGGGAGAAAACTGAGGCTCTAAAAGGTTACCTAACTCATATTGCTAGGAAACAGCAATGAAAGGGACCGAGATTTGAATCTAGGCTGGTCTGGCGTTAATTTTTTCTTCTTACTACAGCCCACTGTTTCTATCACATCAAAATCCTGGGCTTCAGACAGAGAAGTCTCTATTCTCAAGGAATTTACAATTTAGCAAAGCAAATGTTGTGTATGTTTTATTATCAGGTTAAAAGTTTTTTTAAACAATATCTCCATTTTTAGATTTGCTCTCAGACTCTGGGTTGTGTCCTGACATTTGGTACTTTAGTAATTTAGACTAGGAAACATCAAATTTTTATTTCTCTAAGTTGACCAGAATACAGTTTGAGTAAAAAAATATTCATTTGTTAATTCTAAAAATAATGTCTTAAACAGCACACTCACTAACACGTTTTTTAAAGATGATGATAATTACTGCCAAAAGGAGTGAAGCACACTGTGATAGCGCTAAGTTTACTCAGCGACCTTTATATAAATATGTCCATGCAAATATTAACTGTCCAGCGCTGGGCAAGACTGGAATAGGGCAGAATAAAACCACAGCCTGTCTAACGTTCCAGTTCAGCCTGAACTCAAACAAGGGGACATATATTTACACCCCACATGCAAACCTGGGTAGACGACGGTTTGGTCATCATGAAACAGATTTTTTTATCATAGGACAGAAATTTGCTATTGAAAAAGATAAAATATAGAAAGAAAAACATGAAGGAGCGACGTTTATGCGGAGGCGGCTTCGTAACTGCTGGACGTTCTCTTTGTAGACAGTGGACCGGCCGAAGGACTGGTACAAGACCATGTTCAAGCAGATCCACATGGTGCACAAGCCGGGTGCGTATGCTGCTCTGGTGCCCACTGGGGCCCCGCGGGCTGAAGGGTGTCTCAGTGCCCTCCCCTTTGGTATAGTGGGTTCACCCCAATGTTGGGACCCTAGCAAACTTCCCGGCCCCCGCTGTTCCTTTTGAACATTCCTCCTTATATCACCCCTCAAATCGCAGACCCCTGCGCTCCTGCCCCACCTCTGCTCTGCCAAGAAACCCCTAGGAGGTGACCGTAAGGAGGGGCCCGCTGCTCCGGCTCTGCCCCGTCCTTCCTCACCCTCAGTCTGAACCGGCGTGGGCTGTGTCCGCTGAGGCAGACTCCCTCGCCCTCGGTCCACACATCTGCTCTTTACCCAGACAGCGAGCAAGGCAGGTCTCGCTGAGCTGGCAGAGATATTTAAGGCGCCCACGAAAGGAAAGAGAAGGCAAGGGGACTGACCTCGGACGCAGGGCAGATGCGCTACAGCCGAGAGAGGTCCAACTGCAGAGGCCCAGCAAAAAATAATATTTGGAGAAAAAAAAAAATTTAATGCTATTTTGAACCAGGCAAAATACATTGGCTTTCTAACAAATTTCTGTTGTTTTATGAAGCTCCGCCGTGTTGTGGTGATACGGTGGCGGGATCTGATTACCGTCGTATTTATGTTTCGTTTTCTAGATGATGACAGTGACATGTATAATACTCCTTACACATATAACGCAGGTAGGACGGGTTCCTTGCTCGCGATGAGTATGTTCGCCCTGCAAAGCTTGGAAGAACTTTCCCACTCTGAGTGCATGTCTTCAGTTTACACAGGAGGAGGGTGCTTTTCCCCCCTTTTTTCTCAGAGCACGCATGACAAAGGGATTGGTCTTTTCTCCTGGAAATGAGAACCAGCACTGTTTTGTCTCATTCATTCCCGTTAGTTTATTCTCAGTTTCAGGGATGTTTAACCCGACTGTGCGGCCTGAAAGCACACACTGTCCGGGGACAGACTGAGATAAAGATCTCCTTGATCACAGGCGAGAGTGATCGGCATTGCGCAAGATCTCTCAGATACGCTTCACCCAAAACAACTCTAGCACAGTCTTCTGTGACCTCGTCTGTGCTTTCACTCCAAAATACCATTCATCAAAGGATTGTTTAAAATCCCACTCTGCCGGCCACTTTTCTGACTCAGAGTTGCCAATGGCCATAAATTCCGGGCACTTCTGCTTGCATTTCAGCGTGTTGGTATCTTCTGAAGCGGTTGCAGGCTAAAGTGAGGGAATCCCTAAAAAATGTTTCTCTCATGATCACTTTCTCCTAAAGGTCACGTCAGGGGATCCCGCACAGGGCCTCCGTCCCTACTCAGCCTCGGGCTCTACACCATCGCACAGGGTCGGGTTCTCCTTTCTTTAAAGCAGGCTCAGCGGATCGGTCTCACCTCCCCGTAAACAGCTGCAGCTGCACCAGGGGTCCCCTTGCCAGCCTGGCTCAGAGCTGAGGAGCTTCTCGTTCCTGGACCCCTGAAGGCCAGCACACAGGCCCCTGAATGCTTAGGGATTCTGCTGCTAGTCTCCAAGGACAAATACAGGGAAAACAAGACAAAATAACAACAACAAAAAACATAAGCAAACAGAAACAAGCATAGAAGTGACAAGAACTCTGTTTTCTGTCCCCGATATCCCACGTGATAGCAGGGGCCCACCAGATGTTGCCTCAACTTTTAACTCTGGCCACAGGTTCTTCGAACCCACCTCCTGTGTTTAGCTTGTTAAAACACAAAATTCAACTGAGCACATTTTTTTTAATACATTTTTATTGATTTCAGAGAGAGGAAGGGAGAGGGGCAGAGAAAGACAGAGAAACATCAGTGATGAGAGAGAGTCATTGATCGGCTGCCTCCTGCACGCCCCCCACCAGTGATCGAGCCCGCAACCCGGGCATGTGCCTTGACCAGGAATCAAACTGAGATTCCTGGGTCGTAGGTTCGATACTCAACCACTGAGCCATGCCGGCCGGCCAACTGAGCACATTTTAAAGATCTCCTTGGCTTTGTTCAATGATTCATCTAGCAGATAGAAAGGAGCTCTGAGGAGCTGCACAGAATGAGACTTAATAGGCAGAAGGAGGCAGGACCAGGAGGTTAGAGTAGGCAAGAATGCAGATGGGTTACTGAGGTCACTTTCCCTTAGGGCACGGCTGGGGTCTATCAGGCTGGTGACCTAACTAGTGCTGACCAGGTGATTCCCCACTCGGTTAAGATTCCTTATCTGGGAGAGGCCTAAACTGTAATTCAGTTAACTCTGGTTTGGTGCCTTGGGGCTTTGCATAAGCAACTCCATTCAGGGCCTACTGCCTTGTTTTTAACGAGCTCTACAGCTGAAATCTGACTGTAGAATTCAGGCAAAACAGCACAGACGTCACCTCTGTTTATTTGTCGCGGCAATTTGCACAGAACTTCCAGAGAAGAAGGAAAGTGAACGTAGACTCAGCTCAGGAGACTGAGGCTGCAGGAAATTCCAAATGTCTGTAGTTATTTTTAATATGGACGTTCTGTATCCATTAGTTATTAGTCAATCGAACAATAGTTACATATAACCTTGAGGAGCTGAGCTCTTTACAGAGAGCTTTACCCTTTAATCAGTAGACAGAACAACTACAACTAGCCTCTCCCCTTTCTACTACCTACATCCCGCTGTCCTGGGTCCTGTTCTTTCTACCTCTTTTATGTTTCTCTGTCATCTCTGCCCTCTTGCCCTATCCCCAAACCATCCTCANGAGGCTGCAGGAAATTCTGAATGTCTGTAGTTATTTTTAATATGGATGTTCTGTATCCATTAGTTATTAGTCAATCGAACAATAGTTACATATAACCTTGCGGAGCTGAGCTCTTTAGAGAGGGCTTTACCCTTTAATCGGTAGACAGAACTACTACAACTAGCCTCTCCCCTTTCTACTACCTACATCCCGCTGTCCTGGGTCCGGTTCTTTCTACCTCTTTTATGTTTCTCTGTCATCTCTGCCCTCTTCCCCTATCCCCAAACCATCCTCGGGGCTCACTCTAGTGCCTTCGGTTCCATGATTCCTTCTCTGACCAATCCACCTTCTTCTAAAACCCTTTAATTCCTCATGTAGATTTCCCACATTTGGCCTTTCCCACATTACTCTGATTTTCAATCATGATTCTATTTGTGTCTCATTTCCCAGTTGCGCTATAAGCTTATTAAGGGTTTCTGTTCCCTTAAGGCTGGCACAGCACAAAGATAACTTGCTCAGTATTTTATTTGATTGCAATTAACATGTCAATTATATGTAAATCAGAGCTTTTAAAGTAATAGAAGATATTTGGAAACAGTTCTATGAAGTATTTTTAATCTTCCCCTGAATTCTTAACTATGTCATTAGTTTATATCATCCAGGAGAAAATATGCTGAGCACCTGTAAGTTACTCCTATTACGAGCCTGAATGATTACTAATTCTAAAATGATTTAACAAGATTTACTGTAATCATCGCTTGTGTACAGAAGACAGTAATAACAAGCTAATATATTAATAAAGGTGAATCCATTAATAATATTAATAAATTAAGATCATACTACCCGGTGCATGCATTATGAATATGCTTATTGATTATAATTTTGGCAAAAATCATTGGGTATTTTATGGGGTACAAATCATTTCATGCCCTTTTAAAACGTCATTTGCTCCTGTTTTGTTTTGTTTTTTGTGTTTCACGATAGGCCTGTACAACTCACCCTACAGCACTCAGTCACATCCTGCTGCAAAGACCCAGACCTACAGACCCCTCTCCAAAAGCCACTCGGACAATGGCACAGATGTCTTCAAGGACGCCTCCTCCCCCGCCCCGCCCCCACAGGTTCCTCCTCCAGTCCCTCCGCATCGACCAAGAGATCGGTCTGCAACAGAAAAGTAAGGCATCTCCCCCAAAAGTGGCCTACATTTAGCTTAGTGTAAAAATAAGGCCACATGACTTCCAGGAGAAGAACTGGTGGAGATGGTATATGTAAACCTTCTCAGTCAATACACACACCACACTGACCTCCTCTGTGGAGATTATAGTAAACCCTTTCACAAGCTTGGTTCATAATACTGTGGTGAGCTAGGTCAGACCTGATGTAACATGGGCACAATCTCTAGTTTTTGATCAATAAATGCGTATAAGACGACAAATAAATAGAAATCACTGACGTACTCTTTTGGGCATAGCAGGTCAGAGACTATGCAGTTAATTTTCAGTTTCCTCAGATTTGAAATGTTAGGTCTATTAATTATTTAAAATTTCCCTCTGATACACAAAAATATCTCTCTGAAAGCAGGAAGGCTGTTCATGAATCATAAATAAGGCATTAGTTAATAAGTGTCTACCTGTGACTCATTTCCACCAGTTTTTCGAGGTGATGATCATTTTCATTTCCCCACAGAAATATTTTTATAGAAACTACCCTCACAAAAATAAAAATTTATAAACACACTTTTATGGCATCATTTAAAAACTAAGATTATGACTAAGAATCCTACTTATAGGCAACCTTTATTGAGAGTGTGCTGTGAGCCAAGCTCCAGGCGAAGTACTTTTCCTCTATTATGTCATTTAATTCTGAGAACAACCCAATGAGATATGTTTTATTTTAAACCCATTTTAGAGAGAAAGAAACTATGATTTAGAAAATTAAAACAACTTGCTCAGCTCATACAGCTAGTGTGTCAAAGCCAGGATTCAAATGCACCTCTGACCAAAGTCATAGCTCATGTTATGCTGGCGATTGATAAATAATAATATTAGAAGTATTCAGTATTAATACAGGGTATCAATCAGTCATCATCTACCATACCTATATCACAAATATATTCAACACTGCATTGTACCATTAAAAGTAACTGATGATCCTAGAGGGTATAAGATACCATGAAAATGGACACACTTCATATGTGAGAAGATTCCCATTTTCATACCAGTCTTCTCATGGTGAATTATGTTTAGAACTGTGATGTCTTAAATTTGAGAAATAATTGTCTAGACATAAATAAATGGTATCCCTGCCATAAAAAAAGAACCAAAATTAACTCAGAATTAAATGTATTATTTGCTCTATGTGTTTAGTAAAAATAAATATCCCATTAAGAAATATGATAATCTCTTAAATACTGCTAGATGGCTTTCGTGTACATTGTCTCGTGTAATGCTCAAAATGTCCCCATTGAATGTTACTCATCAGTTTACTAGAAAGCCAGCAGTTGCCCCTATTCTCCTGCCTCTTAAGGCACTTCTGTATCCAGCATGCCATGGAGTCAGAATTCCACCCGTTCCATGGTCACAATTGCCCCCATCTATATATAGTCAGAGAATCCTTCCTCGGGAAGCCTCCTTTAGCACCAGCTACCTAAAAGGTTTTATTTTTGAAGTCCTTCTGTGACCACCTCTTGAAGGATATTAGTTCAGGAAAAAGCTAGTCCCGAGATCTCCTATGGGATGGGACAGATGCCTGACTCTGGGCAACACCTGAGGAGGATCGCCCGTCCCCACAGCTCACTCCTGGGGACGGCAACCCAGGTGGTGCTGTGGTGCTTTTCACAAACCACGAGGCTGTTTGCAAGATAAACCAGATCAAACACGGCATGTACACTTCTCCTTGTCACTTTGAATCAAGGATGCCGTGTCAGAGTGTCGGGATAAACTCACAGCTTAACGGAGCTCAGCCAGCACTTACTCTAAGTACAGACATACCCAGCGGCCCTGTGGGTGACCCGGGCGTTTACCAGCAGAGCACGGGGCTGTGCGCATCTACAAATCCCTCGTGGGAGTATCTGAGCCAGCAGGAGGATGATCATTGTGTGAAAGGGAAATAATACAGGAAAACAGAATATGAATAAATGAAATGACTTTCTTTAAATCGTGTGTGTAAAACAAAGCATAAATGTGGTATTTGGGGCAGATCAGCTTTTGATCCTATGAGACTTTTTTTTTTAATCTATAGTAAAATTAACTTTGGAAATAGCGAGTGGTTATATACGACTGCTTTATGCAGAGAGAATTATTTTCATGTGCAATTTGTTGGTTATTTCCAGGCATGACTGGGATCCTCCAGACAGGAAAGTGGACACGAGAAGATTCCGTTCTGAGCCCAGGAGCATTTTTGAATACGAACCCGGGAAGTCGTCGATTCTGCAGCATGAACGACCTGTAAGCACTCGCGTTAAACACGGTGCCGCTCTCTAGACTTCCTGGGTTCTCAGACAATCCCAAATTCCATACCCGTTAGCGGTTTTGTCGCAAAGGTAACTTATTCACTTGGCATTATTTGGAAATCATGCCTATTTTGCACCGTGGTTTGCACATCTTGTCTCGGAATTGAAGATGCATTCTTCAATGTATTGTTCCTACCGATCAAATATAGGAGTTATTCGCATGCACCTATAGCCATGCCTAATCATAGCCCTGAGTTTAATTTTTTTTTAAATTCATAAATGCAATACTTAATTGCTAGACTACATCACTAATGAGAAAAATCATTCATTAATCTACTCAATACAAATGGACCCAGGCAGTGCCATCCCTTCATTTCCATATAGCTTTATTAATATTTCTATGGCTTCAGGGGAAGTTTTCCAAATGCCTTTTATATTACAAGTTGGTTTTAATTGATTCTTATTAAATCTCTCCCAGGTTGCCAAGCCTCAAGCTTCCTGATTGGTTGTCAATCTAATGGATCAAGATTATATTTAACTTTGCAGCATTTTACAATTATTTATTTAAATCCTATGCAGACAAAAAGATATATGAGCCAGAAATTAACCGTTTGCTTCCCCAAAGTGCAGTTTAACAAACAGGTTCTTGCTCAGCCTTCTTTGTTTTTAGGTCCCCAGTCTTCCCTTCTGGGTTTGTTTTCCCTCCTTGATCAGCGCTCTCAGGATCTCGGAAACTGTAATTCCCCTGCATCTCTGTCAAAACCTGCTTCTAGGGAGACAGTTGATGTTATTTGCAGCTTACTCTCTGCCTTGTCTTAAGAGAATCTGAGGTGTCAGTGAACAGGAACAAGTCTTTTTTGTTAGCTCCTTTAAGAGTATCCAAGAAACCACATTATTGTACAGAATGCAAGCCCAGCCCTGAAATTTGATTGGACACCCTGGCCTCACCACCCCCAACATGAGTGTCCTTGATTTAGTTTTTGAAACCCTGTGTTTATGGTTATGTTCTTGAGAAGCATGTTCAAAAATCTCATAATCACATAATTCATATGTGATATTTATATAAGCTTTTTTTTTTTTTTGCCTTTCTACAAATAACATATCTTTTAGAGCAATAGGACTTTAACAGAAAAACTGAAAAGGGGGGAACATCACTGATTTACAGGCTCCCTTGCAAACTTATAACCCATTTCCTAGGTTATGTGATTGAATGTCATGATTTCTAGGATGAGAACTGAGTGAATCATGAAGTCACCATTGCATAAAATCGAAAATAGAAAAATAATTGTGCAAAATAGTGAGTCTCAGATTTCAATGTAAATACCAAAACTTCAATGAGCATGCTAACCACTGATGCTCTTAGGATGATGAACGTTGTAACTATATTGAAATGTATTGATAGCTATTGCGCCAGGAAACAGGACTGATTTTAGAAGCTTTCCAGTCAGGATATTTCTATTATTTTCTCACTGAGCAAAATTATTGAGCACCAGCTATGTGCCAGACATTGTATTAGGTGCTAGGGTCACAATAGTGAACAAGACACGGTCTCCACCTCGAGGAACTTCGAGTCTGTCATTTAAGGGATATGCAGGGTAGGCCTGCATTCGTGAGAAACAGACCACCTCCCAGACGGTTAAAACAGGCACACCTAAAAAAGCTTCCCTTTGCCCCCTTGGCAGGTCATTCACGGGCCCTGTCATCATGACTGAAATTCCCACATTACTCAAGTCTTTGGGCTCAAGCTTTGAAGGTTCCTAGTTTAAAAATAGCAACAACAATAACTACAACAATAGCAATAGTTGTAGATCCTTACTGAATACTTACTACGTGCCAGGCCCCATAATTAGTAATCTATGCCTTATCTCATGTAATGATCGCGACAGCCCATGAAGTAGGTACTGTGGCTCTTCCATTGTACAGATGAAGAGATTGAAGGGCACAGTCAGTAACTTCGCCCCGGGTGGCGTTGCTGGTGGGTGTTGGGGCTGGGCTGCGAGCCCGGGCTCACGGGTGCCTGGTGCACTCAATCACCGCTCGATTGCCGCACCACCAGCACTAGCTGAGCAGGAAACACATTTAGCCAGGAGTCCTCATCACCCCCATTAATTTGACTGCTTTTCAGTATAACTTAGTTTATTTGCTAATTTATAATAAATGAGTGTACTTGATGGCTTTAACCAGAAACCTGGGCCCTGAGTAGTTAAGATATAAGACCAGTATGCTTAACTGCTCCTGAAAGAGTAAAAGGATCTGGAGCATGGGTACTGCTGGAGAGCCGGCTGTGGGTGGGCCTCTCGGCCGGAAGAGGGCCGTGGAAGGGGCCTAGATACTTGGGAGGAAATGAGAATGGGTATTTTATGCAATGAAAAAAACCAAAACTTTTTCCTTCCTCAACCATTTTGCTGAGGGCCAGTCTTACGCAAAATGATTTGAGCCGGTCTGTCCTCTGCACCATTTCGGCTAGGCTTCTTATTACAGGACTAGGCTGTGATCTTTTTGTGGTTGCTATCAACCCTGAATTCATTCTGATTGCCTCTAAATCAGAAAAAAAAAAGGGAAGTGGGGGCTGCGTGCACTGCGGTGTTGCAGACACTGGCTCTGTACTGATGCAGTTTACATAAGCTCTGGAGTGTCTTGCACACACAGGTGTAGAGGGTGGACAGCAGGCTTGCTAAGTGAGAGTGGTGTAGCAGCCAGGGGACGACAATGAAGGATTTCAAGGTGCTCCGAATACACTCTCAGGTCATTTTACTCCAAGGTGGTTTGTGAGCAGGTCTTTTGCTCTTTTCCTATTTAATTTTATGTAACTTACAAATAGCTAAGTAATTCCCTGTTGCCCTTTTCAATTCTTAATGACTACGTCATCTGCCCAGTTTTCCCAAATGTCATCTTGGATTCCACTGTTCCCCAATGATCTCTAAGTCCTGCCACCCAGGAGAAATGTCACTGCCACTCATCTGGGCTGGTCTTCTATCGTCCATGCCTGGATTTCCCTAATTCCTCAATCTTTATAAAATCTCCTGCTGAAAACTGTCTCTGGCTCTCAACTATCTTTCGAGCAAAATTATATAATTTACCAAAAAACTTGTGGTTTGGCCCCCACTGGCCTCTCCAGCCTCATGTCTATTCCTGCCCTTCCGGCCTCACTCACTCTGTTCCAGCTGTACAGAAAGCTACCAAATTCCTTCCCCGCTAGGCCTTTTCACAGGCTATTCCCTCTGCCAGGAGAGCTCTCTCCACTACATGCTCTCCTCATGGAAAAGCCTCATCTCACTGCCCCAGGGCACCATCCCCAATTCCTCAACTGCAGGTGCAGAGCGCCCCCTGCTGTATACCTGCAGCATTTCCCCCTCACTCACCACACTGAACTGCAACGGCCTCTTTACTTGTCTGTGTCCCTCACGAGACGTTAAGCTCCTTGAAGGCAGGGACCGTGTCTGGTGCACCAGTTGTATCCCCAGCACCTAGCACAATGCCCGGCACATGGCAGGTGTTAAGTGAATACTGGTTGAATTAACAAGGGAATGAATGAACACAGTTTTTACCCTTGCCGTGAGTGGGTCAAGTTGGTGAGACCGAATCCCTATTCTGTTGCTCATCTGTGAAGTCTACACTTCTGGTGAAAAAAGGCACAGCGTATCTCCATCAGCGCACACAGGAGAGATTCGATGCTATTAGTAATTATGGTCCATAATTCCATGAGTCCCTGGGTGCAGGGTGTAAAGGTCCTTCCCCAGATGCTGGCCAAAAGGATCCTCTCTTCCTTAGAAATACATGGAACATGCATTTATGTTCTTCAACATGGAAGTAAAAGTGAGTGCAGTTTTTAAAGTGCATAGATGTTCATTTGACTATAAGTTTAGAAATGCTGATTAAATGAGCCTATTGTTTGATCTTGAAAAGTACTTTGCTATCACCAGGAATCTATCTTTAACTGACTCGAACCACAACTGACTCCATGAGACAATCATACAAACGCTCTACTGAGATTATATCAATAGAAACTTTACACCCCATCAAGATTGGATATGTTTATAGGTGGACCACATTAAAATAAAATAAATTTAAATACAACAGTTATTTAGGACCTCTCTACACTTGATAAAAATGGAAATAATATGAAGGTGTTACCTTTCTATGCAATAACTAAACCAGCACGTAACGATAAAAGCAGAAGGAATAATCATTGACAATACTGCGTAGAGTTGAAGTGCAGTTAGCCCCCCAGTGAACTTCAGCTTCTTTATCCATGAAGGTTGTCATTCAAAGCTTAAACTCTAAAAATTTTGGAGGTTTCATCTGATGGTTTAAACCATAAAGAATTGCCCCAACTAACAGCATGTACAGTATTTATCATGGAACCACAACAAATATAAAACATAGTAGCCAATGCCACTAAAGCTTAAAAATCTAATGAGCATAAAATATAAAGAACCGATTATGCCGACCCATCTTCTCGTTTGAACAACATACAGAAGTTACAAGCCCGCAGCGAGAATACTGAGAACAGTAGAATTTCTATAACCTGAAAAGCAACTAAGTGCTTTTAAACTGTAGAAAACATGAACCCTTTACAAACTGCTCACTCTTGCCTTGCAACAAGAATTATATGTGATGTGTGGTTTTAGATTTTCATAAGCACTCCCTCACACACTGCGGACACAATTTTTGTTTGAAGCACAGGTTTCCTAGATGTTCAGAAAAAATGTTCAGAAAAATGTGCAGCAGTATCTCTGCTCTTTTGTTGTCTTTTATGAGCAAATAGAGCTTCCTCTACAAGTTTCCGAGTGTTGACATTCACATTGAACAACTCAGAAGGGGAACCTTCCAGTTACCAGTGGAAAGTGTTGAGTTAGTGAGATTGAGTGTGTGTCTGATGGCTGCCCGTCGGTGTGTCGGTCACTGCTGTCGTCAGGCCTCTGTGTGCCTCAGCAGTGGACCTCGGTTGCTACATGAACAGTTAATTGTCGCACAACTAACGGGAATCAGTAG